CGAGCAGGGAGCCCGATGCGGGACTCGATCCCGGGACTCCAGGATCATGACCTGAGCCGAAGGCAGTCGCTTAACCAACTGAGCCACCCAGGCGCCCAAGATGGCTAACATGTTCCCAGCTCACCCCATGCCAGCCCTGAGCTAAGGGCTACACCGTGTTGGCACATACCTGACAAGGAGCACTGGGGATCAGAGCCTGGCCTTGACTTCTTTGGACTTCAGTTTCCACTTCTGAAAAGTAAGAAGGGTGGTGTAGATCATCCTTAGGGTCTCCTCCTGGATAAAAGTCTGTAAGGCTACACAAAGGAGTGGTTAAGACTTTTAGCTTTAGAGTTGAACAAACCTGCATTTGGATCCCAGCTGGTGTTCATGAGCTGTGTGTCCCAGGGCAAGTTACTTTACTTCTCCGAGCCCGGGGTACTAATGTCAAGATTAAGTATGGTAATTATACCAAGTGTTTAGCTCAGGGCCTGGCACTTGGTGAGTGCTCAGTAAATAGTGGTGACGATGTGGATGGTGACCCTAGTTACCAAAATAGCCACACCACAAGGCAGAAGGTAGTTTCAACAACAGCCTAAGTGCCATGGGCGTTTGGAAGCAGCTGACTCACTCGGGGGCAGGGCCAGGGGTCAGTTCTCCAGCGGGATTGAGAAAGCACAATTCCGAGGGTGGACCACAGGATGCTGGGGATGAGGGCTGGGTGCCCGGTGCATCTCCCACAGCTCCTCCTCCACCCTTCCCAAGCATGTGAGCCTAAGTCCTGGCTGCTCCGCTCTGCTGGGGGGCCAGGGGGCCGGCCAGGGGGGTGCTGGCAACAAAGGGGACAGCTGAGTCCTTGGCTGACCTAACTTCTGGGTGAACCTCTGCCTCTTTGTTGTGACACTCTGAACCCCAGACATGGTCAGTCCTTCAGCCACCTGTGCCCCGTGTCCCCGTGAAAAGGATGAACAGTAAGAAGCCGGAAAGAAAAATGTTTAAAAGGCCATAGATGCTTCCCTGACCTTGTCTGAGGGTATGTCAGTGTTTTTCTCTTCTTCTCTTGCTCCTCTTCCTTTTTTTCTTGGAATTCCTATTTTTATGCAGCAGGTTTGGGGCCCCTCTGGGTGTGGAGGATTTCCTGGTCAGGAAGTCTTCCAGGAAAGTCACTTCCAAGTTGCTCTGCTCCTGGGAGGCCCTGGTTGATGTTTGCTGAGTGCGTGAGTGACTTGCAGCTCGGGCCCCAGAGGTCCGGCTGCTCTTCTCTTGCTCTGGGCCATGAGGCGCGGGACACAGCGGCCGGCCCTCTCCTTGTTTTTAGTCCATTTTCTTCCGCTTCCTGGGGCTGCCTGTGGGTGAGGGGCTCCTCGGGCCTCACCCCGAACCCTCCCCTCTGTGTGCTTGCACCCTCTCTGGCCCCCTGACCCACCCGCGCCTCCACCCTCCTCTCTCTCCTTTCTCGGGAGCTGCAGATCATTTCTTCCCAGATCTTGACCCGAATGACTGTGGCCCATTCAGTTCCACGAGCGCAAAGCTGAGGCTTTCTCCCACCCTCACTCCACATTCTTCCCCGCACAGATGAGTGTCTCACTGTCCACTCCATGCCCAGGGATCAGCCAGAGCCCTCCAAGGCTGGCGGTTTTCCTGCGCTCTGCTCTTTGCCACCCTCCAGACTGCTGCCTCCCAAAGGGTGCCCCTGCCTCTTGTCCTCCTGCATCCTCCCGCTCCCGGCTGCCTGCTGAGACCCCAGCTGGCCATCAGGGAACCCTCGAAATAACCTGCTCAAGTCACTGGTCCTCTGCTCAGCAGCTTGTAACACTCTCCACTGCCTTTGGGATAAATGGAAACCCCTCGGCCTGGCAGACACAGTCCTTCCTGGTCCCTCCTCTGCTGACCTCTCCAGGCTCCCTGCCCCAAGCTCCCAGGCTCTCTCCCGCAGTCCCCTGCATCCCAGCCTCCTTGACATTCCTGCTGGCTCTCAGGGGCATTGCCCCGGTCACATCTCTGAGCCATAGCCCTGCTGTATCTTCTGCCCAGAGCGCTGACTTCCCTATCATCTGTCTGGCAGACACAGTCATGTCTCAGGAACCATTCAAATGCCCGCTCATCTGGGAGCCCTTCCAGATCCCTCCAGGCCCGTGTGGGTTCCCTCAGCGACTTGTCCTTTGCCATTCACAACATCTATCACACTGAATTATAATTACTTATTGACATGTTCCTTTTCCCCTCCGGAAGGAATGTTGCTTGGTGGCAGAGGTCTTTCACCCTTTTGTTTTCTGACTGTCTGGAGCATAGCAGGTGCTCAGTAAATATTGGTTATTGCAAATGTCCATCCATCACGTGTCTGGATCAGAATGTGGTTTTCAAGTTTTGATTTTGCTGCTTTCTGCGGGGAGTTCATGTGCTGACGAGACAGGCAGATGGACTGGTGCCTGTTGAGTTACGAGCTCTGGAGTCGGATCCGGGTCCTGGGCTTGGCTTTACCATGTATTAGCTGTGTGCTAAGTGACTGACCTCTGCAAGCCTGAAAAATGGTAATGGTAGCCTTTGCCCAGTCGAGCGGTTGTGCGGGTTAGTGGGGAAGTCAGCCGGGTGCTAGTGAGTGTTTGAGAAAGGACAGCGAGTGTTATCGTCTGGTTTCAAACGGAAGAGCTGCCGGAGAAATGTCTCCTGAGGCCGAGTCTGGAGGCCCGTGTTTCAGTCCCGGCTCGGCCTCTGCACACCGTGGGACCCTAGGCCAGCCACATTCCCTCTCTGGTGTCCGTGGTGGGAGCAGCTGGCCTCCGAGGGCCCTGCAGGTCTGACCTGCTGCCGCCCTGTGGGGCCGAGGAGGATGTCCTGGAGGGCGAGATGTGTGAGGGCAGCAAAGAGTGCTCTATGTCCAGCAGAGGGCCCTGCCCAGCCCCTGGCCAGCCGGTGGGAGGGAGCAGCTCGAGTCTACTGGAGCAGGCTGGTGATGCCAGATGCCTGACTGGAGGCGGACCAAGCGGCCCGCTGCCTCTCTCCGGTCAGCCCGGCGCTTGGGTCCCTCGCCCTCACCTGCTCTTCGGGGAGGCGTCCGGCCATGCGGCGGCTGTGGCCACTGGCCGTCTCTCTTGCCGTGCTATTGGCTGCGGGGCTGAGCAGAGTCTCTGGGGGTGCCGCCCTGCCCGCGGGCCGGCACAGGGCCGAGGCCCAGGAGCAGCAGAGCCGGTCCAAGAGAGGCACCGAGGATGAGGAGGCCAAGGGGGTGCAGCAGTATGTGCCCGAGGAGTGGGCCGAGTACCCCCGGCCCATCCACCCTGCTGGCCTGCAGCCCTCCAAGCCCTTGGTGGCCACCAGCCCCAACCCAGACAAGGATGGGGGCACGGCAGGCCGCGGCCAGGAGCCTCGGGGCAATCTGACAGGGACGCCGGGCCAGAGGCTGCAGATTCAGAACCCCCTGTACCCGGTGACTGACAGCTCCTACAGAGCTTATTGCATCATGGTCCTGGCCCTGGTGGTGTTTGCCGTGGGCATCGTGGGAAACCTGTCGGTCATGTGCATCGTGTGGCACAGCTACTACCTGAAGAGTGCCTGGAACTCCATCCTGGCCAGCTTGGCCCTCTGGGATTTTCTGGTCCTCTTTTTCTGCCTCCCGGTGGTCATCTTCAATGAGCTCACCAAGCAGAGGTTGCTGGGCGACGCCTCTTGCCGGGCCGTGCCCTTCATGGAGGTGAGTGTGCATCCTGTCGGAGCTCGGCTCTGGGCTGTCCGAAGCGGGCTCTGTGGGTGTGCCAGGACCCCAGAGGCCTGGAGCTCTGTCTCGCTTCTCATCCCGTTTGGGCAAGGAGACAGGTGCTGCATTGATTCCTGGTGGCTCTCAGGTAAACGCAGCCAGCTAAGGGGAGCAGGGAGGTGGGCAGGAGCTCTGGGGGCCAGCCCCAGCCCGGTCTCTTGCTTCGGGAGCAGCCTCAAGGCGAATCTCTCCCCCTTTCTCTTTGCTCTGAACCGTCCCCTCCCCTCCTTAACCCCCCTCCATTTGTCCACGCAGGAAATCGCTCTGTCCACAGTATGTCTCCTTTTCTCCCTCTTTGCCACTGCCCTGCCTTCTTTACTTCTGAATATCCTGCTTCTCCAAGCAGTGTGTGAAGGGAGATCCCAGTTTCCTGCAGCGCCCCCCAAAATCAAGTCAGTGTCCACTCCCCATGAATGCAAACACCAGAAAGAAAGTCCCTTCCTTACTGTGATGGTTGTTGCTCTCCGAAAGGGTGCCGGAGCCCGGGGGTGAGGGGCTCAGTATCAGCTCTGTCTCTGACACACTGGGTATCACTGGGCAGGTGACGCCTCCTGTCCAGTTTGCTTAGCTCCCAACCATGGGGTAGACCAGATGGCCCCTCTGGCAGGTTTCTTCTACAATTCCAAAGTAAACCATCATCCTCACCTCTGGGGACTTCCACCTTAAGACAGGTGCATGGGTGATGATGGAGGTGTAGATCATATACAGACACCTTAATCAAAACATTACAAAAATATACCAATCTTTGTGCATTTAGGCAAGATCCAGCAAGGCCAGCCACCGTGTCTGTGCAGGAGCACAAAATAAGCAAGCAGTCTTTTAAATTTTGGCTACATTGCGGGGAGTGGGTACTCACGAGGACGGGAGTGACTGGCCTCCCCGTGAAGGCTGCTGCTCTTCCAGATGCGTGGAGGATGCTGTGGGCCATGGGTGATGTGCCCGGGGTGGAGAAGGAATCAGGATCAGGCATGTGGGCCCTATTCCCAACTCTGTCCCCAGTTCCCCGTATATTAGTGATGATTTCATATTTGGACAGCCTGAGGCTCAGCAGTTGGTGCAGCCCCTCGCGTCCTTCCCAACCCGGGGAGACCACTTAACCGGGGCCCAAAGGTACTCAAACCTCAAAGAAGATCCTGCAACTGGGGCTAGCCTTGGCATCTTAGTTATCCTGTAGGGTGCAGAGCCCAGGCGCCCCGTGAGAGGCCGGACACAAGGACTAGGTGAGGAACCGGGCTTTACCCCTCGCTAGCTGAGTGACCTAGGTAAGTGACCTAACCTGTCTATACCTCAGTTTTGACCTCTGTAAGTTGGGGATAATAATAATAAAAACCATCTGAATGAATTCTTGAAAGATTAAATGGGTAATATCTACAAAGTCCTTAGCATTAAAATAATTCAGTAAGGGCGCGCCTGGGTGGCTTGGTCGTTAAACGACTGCCTTCAGCTCATTATCCCAGGGTCCTGGGATCGAGCCCCACATCAGGCTCCCTGCTCGGCGGGAAGCCTGCTTCTCCCTCTCCCACTCCCCCACTTGTGTTCCCTCTCTCGCGGTCTCTCTCTCTGTCAAATAAATAAAGCCTTTAAAAAATAAAATAAATAAAATAAAATAATTCAGTAAGTATTGGGTTTTGCCAGGAAAGGGAGAGGAGGAGGACAGACATATGGGAACTCTTGTCTGCATGGAAGCCTGGCCGTGCCTGACTATGGGTCTCAACATACCTAATACCCAGGCTGTGGCCTCCACCCTCCTAGGTTACTGCCTCCACACCTCCTAGAGGATGGAGATGGTCACGAGCTTGTAGAGCCCCCCCTTCAGGCTAGGTGATGGAGTACGAGTTAAAATACCCTGCTCTGGGGGTGCCTGGGTGGCTCAGTCGGTTAAGTGGCTGCCTTCGGCTCAGGTCATGATCCCAGAGTCCTGGGATCGAGCCCCGCGTCGGGCTCCCCGCTCAGTGGAGAGCCTACTTCTCCCTCTCCCTCTGCCTGCCGCTCTGCCTCCTTGTGCTATCTCTCTGTCAAATAAATAAATTAAAAAAAAAAAAAAATCTTAAAAAAAAAAAATACCCTGCTCTGGAACACTTTTATAGGGAGGATCCCAGGACGGACCCCAGGAGGGAGCAGGAGAAGACAACTTGGAATTTGATTTTTTTGGTTTTGTCCAAGCCCCAAAGGCTGCTCATCCGCAGGGCTCCCCTGCCAAGGGAGGGGCGCGGGTTCTCACAAAGATCACTTGCGGGCAATGCTAATGAGCCAGGGATTGTGTTCCCCTGGCCAGAAGAGGGAAGAATTTGGACAGAAGGGGGGATCTGAGCACAATCCCTGAGTGTGGTCGAGCATCATCCGACAGCTTGGGAGGATTCTTTTCTTCCTCTTTTCTCTCTGGCACTTTCTTCCCCTGCTGCTCTGGCTTCTTTCTCTTGGCTCCCCGGGCGAGTTTCCTCAGTGCTCAATGAATAGCATCCGGGAGGGTGGGCCCAGGCTGTTTTGGAGGGGGGCTGCTTCCCCACACAGCCAGGCCCTGGGCTTATTCTGGATAGGATGGGGAGAGTGAGTGTGTATGTGAGTGTGCGTGTGTGTATCTCAGCCATATTTCAAAAACCTTTCACCTGATGCACATAATGGGATGTGGGAATGGAAGGACCTGCAAAGACCCAGAACTTCTATGTCTTTGTCTTAATGCCTCATTCGAGATGATTTTTCAAAGTCTCAGAGAGCATAAGGGTCTGTGGGACCCAGGCCATTCATTCCCTCGCCCAGGAGGCAAAGAAGCAAGGTGGAAAGAGTGGGACCGGTCTGCACGTGGACCTCAACTCTGCCATTGACCGAGTCACTTGTCCTGCCTGAGCTAGTTTCTTCCCGTGTGGGATTGTCAGCTGCAAGGATTTGGTGACAGGGTGTGAAGTGCCTGATGCCTGACGTGTGAGAAATGCTCACTAGATGTCATTCCTATCATTTCTGCACTTGCCACTCAGCTCCCCGTCTAGGCTGGAGACCAGGCACCCTGCCCCCTCCCCCCA